GCCAGTAAAATTGAGACTTTTTATTATTTTTCTAGTTTGTATTTTCTCAATAAGTTAACAACAATATTTCATATTTTTAGTTAAGAGTATTGGATTATTTAAAATATTACATAAGTTATTAGGCTAGTAGTAAAGATTGATTTTTTTTCCTCTTGTTATTTGTACTTTCTTAATAAGTTAGTAACATTTTAGTTAGGATTTTGATAGGTTTAGGATAATTAGGATTAGTTTTGTTTTATATAATTCAAATATGGGTTTTATAATGCAACATTGGCATAAGTTTTGTTTTTTTTTATCATTGAAAGTGAAATTAATTGAGTTTTGTATCGTCGAGATTTAACTAAAGAGTTAGCAAATATTTTTAAAAAAGGAGTATGTTTGTTTATGTGTTTTTATTGTTGTTCACGGAGGGAATAGTAGTTAGCATGTCTATGATTTGAAAATGAAGTGAATTTTAGAGGAAACGCGCGGTAACAAGGGGCGCAAAGGCCGCGTATGTGGAAAAAAATTGCGTAGAGAACGCAAAGAGTTTAAAAAATAATGTAATAGCGGGCGGAAAGTGCCGAACCAAGATGTTAATGTTATTTTCGAGTTTATTGTAACTTTTTTTTTCTCTCTTAATCGTTACATCATAGACATGCTAATTGTTATCTGACCAGCTGGAGGGTTGTGTAATACATTTGTATTATGTAATTGGTTTGTAGTATTAGTATGTTTTTTTTATTCGTTTTTTTAATATTTTAATGTCGTGTATTTTCGTGTTTTTTCAGTAGGGTGATGCAATAATGAATTTAGTTTTATCGATTTTAATATTGTACTTTTCTATTTTTTTTCTTTCGTTTTTTTCTTACGCGTATTAATGGCGTTCTCATTCCCGCCGGAACGTCATTGCTTAGTGCTCAATTCGCGGCTTCATCTAATTGATCTTATTTATTAATTAATAATAGAATACGACTTTTCACCATAATTCATAATGGCAGCTAAGGCGATCAGTTCGACCGACGATTATGTGGCTTGGAAACCAAAGGCCTAGAAAACCTTGGTTAAATAGAGCGGGTGGGCAGGTGACATTTCCCTTCGAAAAGTCGTATTTCTACGAACACAGAGACAATTGCAAAGGTAGAACCCGGATTTGCAATATACGTATTTGTAGTTCGGCAATTAGATGAACGTTCATGTATTGTTCGGAATGATACGTGAACGGCTAAAGGTATTTTTTTCGCTCTCGTTTTTTTTTTCGCTTTTTAAGAACTATATTCTTTCGTTGATCATACTAATTTTTTTTTTATACTAAGTTTTATGTTGCATTTTACTATTTTTAATATTTTACTATTTCTTAATAAATTAATTTTATATCATACGCGTAACTTCGTTACTTTTACTTTTTTTATCTGACGTTTCATTATTGCATTATCCACTTTGCTTTGCTTTTTTCGCCATTTTTAATATACTAGAATTTCGTTTTTTTTTTTATATTTATATATTTTTCGTTGTGTTTTTTGCCGTGCGTCGCGAAAGGTTTGGTTTGGTTTACGGATAGAGTTTATGGCCTATGTTACAAGGCGTTAAAGGTAATGAGAGTATTGAGGGCAATGGTTAGTTGAAATGTTGAATATGTTAAGGTGCCCAAATCGTTTATGTATTATTTTCGTCGTATGTTTTTTGTTCACTGATAATGTTACCGTAAATCAAACCAAACAAACGTGTGTAGTGTATTACCGCGTTTATACCATTGGCGTTTTGTTTAATTCTCGTGACGCCCTTTTATATGGACATATTACGACTTTATTTTTTTTGAAAATACTTTAATTCTGTCTCGTCAATAGTTATTGGCTCGTGTTTTTGACCGCCCAATCCAGATTAAGGGATCCGATATGGCAAATAAAAATAATGATGAATAATGAAGGAAAACTAGATCCTAGCCCCCATCTGTGGTCTTGTATTTGGGGGGCAATCACACCAGTAGAGGCTGAATTACGGTAAACGTCGCGTCCGTAAAAGTAAACTAGTTATTTAAATAATTGTATTTTGTAAATTGAGGAGTATTTTTGTTTCTTGTTTATTGTCATATTAGTTTCGTTTTTTTTTCTTGTCAAAGTTTTTCCGCGCGTTACACAGTAAAAGATTGTCCATATCATCGGGTTCATGATTTCTGGCGAACTGATTTATAATTCGGGTTACGGTTATTCCATTAATTCTAATACTACAACCAAGAAAATAGGTGACAGCACACGCACATAGGATAAGATTGCGTTTCAAGGAAACGTGTTACGAAAAAATTGTACGAAAAACGATTGTACTTCAAATATTTTTTTTATTAAGTTTTGTCTTTTGTTAGTCTGTGTTATATAACTACTTTTTTTTCTGAGTCTAGTCTTGTTTTTCTTTTTTTTCTGAATTTGCTGAGTACAGTTTTTCCCAACACGGTTTCTTTGAGAACGAAATAGGTTAAGATAGGCTTAAGCAAACGGACTTATTTTTGTATTGTAATTTTTGTGTTACTGAAGGATTTTGTTTTCGTTTTTTTTGTATTAAGGATGTTAATGTATTTTTTTTATCAGACCCGTGTATATGTAAGTTTATGTTTACTAGCTGCTACGTGTTTTGAGTTTGTAAACAAAGGGGGAATAGCTTACCAGGATTCTAGGAATATCTAACCAAAACCACAACGCCTAAAGGATGGCCAGCACGCAACCACAACTACAATCATCGTCTAGCAGCCAAGGCTCACACTTGAGCAAAGCCAACCAAGTTAAACTAGCCAACCCAAAGACGAGGACCAAAGGGCAAAACAGGACCCTACGAAAAACACCGGAACAACCCGGAAAAAAACAGGAGAGGGCAATAATTTCAACTTTGAATTTAAGAGCCGAGGCCGACTCTACTGTGACAGGGGGGCGTGTAACGACAATCGGTATTGTCGTCAAAAGGGTTGCATAACCACCAGTGCAATGACGCTCCCCCACCACGCCCAATAGGGATGCCAATATAAGGTCCAGTCTGGGGTTGAAAAATTGCATTAAGAATTGTATCATCCTCTGAGGAGGTCAGTGGGTCCACGCGCCAGGCGCTGGACCCGCTTTGTGTATAGTGGTGTGTGTGTGTTGTGCCAGGAGAGGAGAACCCGTTCCAGTAAAGGTCAGATGTATTATTGGTTTTATAAACTATTCCCTCCGTTATCCGTTCCGTTATCGTTACTCCGTTGATACCGTTTTACGTTAGTAATTAATAAAGATTTATGAGTACTATAGGTTTTAGGCAAAGGGCATGACAGTACGTAGGTATTGTCATGCCGTGACACCTGTAATAATTAGTAATAATTAAATAAGCTAAAAGTACATTCTGTTTCATTCGCGTAGTTAGTTGGCTTTTCCACAGGTAATTACAGGGCGGTTGTAGAAGTCGGGTTTAGGAGCTGGTGTAACCCTTTCGTTGGGGATGCAACGCTAGATGTAATATTTGATAGTCGTTGCATATCCCCTAAGAAAGGGGAGTATCAAACCCTTTTAATCCGTCACAATATGAACTCGGATAAATTCATAACGACTTGAAGTCGGGATAAGTCGGTTTGAGTCATAGGAACTCGAATCAATTTATATCGACTTCAAGTCGGTTTGAGTCATAGGAACTCGAATCAATTCATATCGACTTGAAATCGGGATGAGTTGGTTTGAGTCATAGGAACTCGAATCAATTCATAACGACTTGAAGTCGGGATAAGTCGGTTTGAGTCATAGGAACTCGGATGGTATTGTTAGACAATGAATGCGGTTAAAGTCATATAAATTGGAGTCGGGTGATACATTTAAGCGTATTAAAGCCGGGTGACTCGCATGATTTAATTCAAGATTTATTTTTTATATTTATTATTATTATTTTTTATATTTATTATTATTATTATTTATATTATTATAATATTGAATTAAATTAAAACATTTTTTTTATATTTATGAAAATTTGTGTTCACACATGTTTTATCACAGTAAATATTTCGCGGCTTGATACGAGTTGATTCGAATCAAGTAAAATCTGATTCGAATCAAGTCGTTAAAGGCTTGATTCGAATGATTCGAATCACTTGATTCGACTTGGCACATCACTAATTTGAACCATATACGTAAAATTAACAATTAAAAATCTAGGTACGAAACCCAAAAAAAAATACAAAATAAACATATTATTAAAATCTCTATAAAATATCTGATAATTTGATGTACATATTGACCGCCAAATGGCATTTTTTAACTTATTTTTATTGAGAGTCCATCAATAGAAATCGGATGATTTGCTATTTCAAAATTTTCAACAGAAAATTTTATACACACACATATATTATTCTATTTTATAAAGGTATGCTAACATGTTCAGAACGCTTTGAAAAGTAAATACACGTCTAGTGTTGATTAGTTTCTATTTTCAAAGACCGATTCGAAGATACGGGTAAAAAAAGCCAAATAAGACGATTCAGTTTTTCAGAAAACGGTCCGATTTCAATGGTTCAAAAAAAATTTCACGCATTGATTAAATTTTTGAGGAGACCGGCTTAGTAGTTTCAAAAATGTTTCGACCCAAAAACAAGTTTAAAAACTGCCGTTTTACAGTTTAAAGTCATTATTAGACATATGCACATCGAATTATCAGATATTTTATAGAGATTTTGATAATAAGTACAAACTTTGTTTCCAAATCTCTTGGTTCTAGACCAAGATTTATAACTTTTAAAATTCACTTATATAGTTCAAAGAAATTTTCTCTGCATTTTTGACACTATGAATACACTGACTTAATTCGTTTTTTTTCAAAAGTTCAAAAAAAATCTATTTCCCAGATATTATAAAAAAGTCGATTTTTTCAAATTTTTTAGAAAAAAAATGTTAAAAAAAATCATAAAAATTTACTTTTTTCAAAATTTCAAAGCTTTAAAAAAAATGAACTGCGGTACAGGCAATGCAAGCAAATTAGTTTAAGGTACGATATATAATTTTTAATTCTTTTTTCAGACGATAGAAAAATTACCAGACAAAGTGCTACTGAATATATTCAGCTACTTAACTCACCGCGAAATATGTCGTGTGGCGCGCGTTTGTAAACGCTGGCGCACCGTGGCTTACGACACCAGGCTGTGGACGCACGTGTCTTTGAGACCAGAAGTATCCGGATTGCACGTTGGTAAGTTCCAGGAAAAAACTCAATACGTTTGTTCTTGAATATGTGGAAAGTCACATGCATGAATTCACAAATTCTTTAAGTGCGTCTTTATCGCCTAAGACTATTGCAATTAACTAAGCAAAATATTTTTTCAAATATTAATTTAACAGCAAATTATATTGGGTTTTTTAGAATATAATTTTGTTTTTTATAGATATCATGACAAGTCATTTTCGTATAATGTAAAAATACCTCATTAGATATTTCTAGTAGTACCATAATTCCGGCATTATACATTTTTGGTCGTTGTTGGCAAAAAACTGAGAAGCTTTTTGACTACCTAATCTGACCGCTACAAATAATTGTCCGATGATGCCATTGTATCCCAATCAAGCTCTAAAACCTTTTGGCGATGATCCAAACACCTTGTTTGTTAATTACGTCACGCCGGTTGATTAATTCTGGCCTTTTCTGTAAAACTACATAATTTATTTCATTCAGCTGATTGCAGTAGGCATCTGAATTAACCTTTATGTTATCCAGAAAGAGCCAAATCACAAACAATTCCTTTAAAATTTTATCAAACACATAGCATCACCTTTTTCGGGTGAACATCAGCTTTAAAACTTTTTGAGCAAGTTTTTCGTTTTTGTTAACTTCCTGTTATAGTAATCGCAAAACTATTTAAAATAAACTTCTTTTATTTACTTTCATACATGTTTACGTTTCAAAATATTGTAAAAATTTTGGCACACCTAAGTATAAATGTAGGAGATATAGGGACTATATGTAACGGGTAACTAGTAACAGGGGTTTTACAATTCGATCTTAAAAAATATTGAAATATTTTTTATCTCGATGGGACATGTAAACCGTTCTTATATTGTTATAGCTGCTGCCCCGCAGGTCAAAATTTTTACATTTCTTTACGTTTTGAAGGTTTCTGAACATTTTGGCATACCTCAGAAAAAAATGGATGGATGTGTGTGTGTGTGTATGTATGTATGGATACAATTTTTCGTCCACGTTTTCAGGCGCACGAATCTACCGATTTGAATGGTTCAACAAAAATATTCGATTCCTATTTATAGAGAGATGTGCTGATTAATTTTTGGCAAAGGCAGGTCCAGCCGTTTCGGAGATACGGAGCAAAGAATGCAGAAAATAGAAATCTAGTTTTTGAGAGATCGAAGCATCGGATTTGAATGAACTAAAAAACATTCAATTCGTAATGACAGGAAGAACTGTTGCTTAGTTTTTGGCAAAGGCAGGTTCAGTAGTTTCGGAAATACAGAGTTAAATGTGCAAATAATGGCAGTTTTTGAGAAAACTAAGCGTGCGATTTGAATGATTCATAGAACTTTCTGCCTGTTTTAACAAAATAATTGCTTTTGAAAAAAAATTTTTTGTTTCAATTTTTTTTTCAATTTTTTTTTCAATTTTTTTTTTCAAAAAAATTTTTTTTTGTATATCGAAAATAATTCAGATTTGTAATTCTGACCTAGGTTCTAATATTCTTTAAACAAATATTTTCAACTTTGCAATTCAGTTTATATAATTCTTATAAATATTAGTCAATGTTACAGTATTTATTTATAATAATCTATTTGAAAACATTTAATATACTTAGAACATTTCATTACGATACTGGAAGTTTCAGTAATTTGCCTTAAGGCACGATGTCATACACACCACTAGTTTCAATTTTATCAATCTTTTATAGTGTGTAATAATTGTTGTGTTTGCTAAATTATTTAAATGGTTATCTTGACTATTGTTAAAAAGTCACACCTGAGGTTAGTTGAAACAAAACCTTGGGTCTAGTTGTAACATATAAGAATTATACAGATTCAGTGAAAAAAATTTGGTGTAATTTATAGTTTGTAAGATTTAGGCAAATATAAATTGTGTTATACGAGACACAATAAATTTTATTTGTTTTATGATAATAAATGTAATTTACATTGATTCATGATACAAATTTATATTATGGGAGACATTACATATTTTATTAGTATTAATTAGAGTTTTTGCGTTGATTTTTCAGAAGAATTACTTAGAAACAAGTCAATTTTCTTAACTAATAGTCAGGGGCGTAACTACCGCCGTATCAGCCGTATCAAAAATATGGGGCCGCCGAGCCAAGAAAGCCCTCAACGAGCGCGAGCTGAAAGCAAAACTACATTTTTTCAAAAAAAAAAAAAATTAACGTTGTTTGCATTTCCTTTTTTTATCGTGAAGTATTGAACTTAAACTTGTAAGCTAAAGCTTTGAGAGAATTTATTTCAGCTGCAATATTTCTGCAAGCTCTAGCAATCAATTCAATTAGTAAAGCTTTTCCACATGCGATAAGTTAACAAATCTATAAAACTAATTCAGATTATACATTCTTCATCGAAAATTGGAATTTGGCATTTTTATATTCATATTTCTATCGTTTTTTGTTTGTTGTTTGACGCATCAGTTTAAAAGTTAGATTTTGATAAATATGATCAACTACATCATTTTCAGATTTTTCTTCATTATTTAATAATATAAGTTAACGGGGCAAGCGATTAGATTGATTTAAAATACATTCAATTCGTGCTTACGGTGAGACGTGCTGGGTTGTTTTTGGCAAAGGCAGGTCCACACGTTTGGGAGATATAGAGTAAAAAGTGCTAAAAATCACACTTTTTGTGAAAACGGAGTATCAGATTCGAATGATTCAAAAAATATTCTGTTTGTATTGACAGTGTCAACAAAACTCTTAGTTTTTGGGGTAAGCGTATTTTTTTAAAAAATTTCAAAAATATCGAAAATGATTCGGATTTAATTTGTAATTCTAGCTAAAATTCTAAAACTCACTTATTCTAAAACTCCCCGAGCCAAGGGGGCCCCCATCGAGCGCAAGCCGAAAGCAAAACTACATTTTTTCAAAAAAAAATTAATAATTTTAACGTAGTTTGCATTTCCTTTTTTTATCTTGAAGTATTGAACTTCAACTTGTGAGCTAACGCTGAGAATTTATTTCAGCTGCAATATTTCTGCAAGCTCTAGCAATCAATTCAATTAGTAAAGCTTTTCCACATGCGATAAGTTAACAAATCTATAAAACTAATTCAGATTATACATTCTTCATCGAAAATTGGAATTTGGAATTTTTATATTCATATTTATATCGTTTTTTGTTTGTTGTTTGATGCATCAGTTTAATAGTTAGATTTTGATAAATATGATCAACTACATCATTTTCAGATTTTTCTTCACTATTTAATAATATAAGTTTATGTTCTGAAACTTTACAACACGCCAGTAATGACTTACAAAATACTAGTACTTTATTAAGTAATCTTTTGAATTAACATATGCGAATTAACATATGAAAATTTATGGAAATAATTTGTTGAAGAAGTACAAATAATTTGCAAAAAAGATGGATTGCAATAACTATTTTGAAGAACAAAAGACAAAAGATAAGGAATCGTTATTATGATTAGTTATCACAAGATGAGAGAAATTTAGACCCGAAATTTTATTTTAATATATACTATTGCTGTTTGGATATATTAATTTCACAAACCTAACAAAGATTTCAAAACCTTTGCGACGTAAGTAGTAACATTTGCCCTTTTGAAATCGAGAATTACTAAATTAGTTTCCGGAAAACTGTCGACTGAACTACTGTAAAGAAATATTGTAAAATATCTCATATGATCATGACCAATTGATAGTTCTAAAAATAGGTTTGAATACAGAAATCTAAGAAATTTATTTCATTATTTTCACAATGATGGCGCAATAGGCTTTTGCATCCAGTTTTCCCAACGAAATAACAGTATGCATTTTTTCTTGGCCCTTAATTACAATTTACAGTTAAAATCGCAACTGCTAAATTATTTTTTTTTAAATTAAAACTAATTAAAAATTATGTAAATACTTTAGGATATAAATGTCTACCAGACCTGTATGTTCCTAGAGACAGAAACTTTATAAAAATTAAAGATCACTAAATAAGTCAGTTTTTCAAAAAAAAGTTAAGGAGAGTGGAAATATATCTGGAATCATTTGTGAACTAGCTGTAAGTGGAATTCTGTCTTAAGGCAATTAAGGCATCGTGCCTTAAGGCAAATTGCTGGAACTTCCCGTACCAAAAATTATTATTTTTTTAAAAACAATTAACATTTTTGAAAAAATTTTACTTCGGAAAAATAAGATTTTTGAGAAACTATAAATTGGACAAAAAATTACTTTTTTTTGAAAAAAAAAAAAAATATTTTTTTAATTTTTTTTTTAAAAAAAAATTTTTTCTTTATTTTGACATATTTTGGAAGATCTAAACTTTTTTTCAAAGCAATCGTACTGCTTTAACTTCATTAGGACAAACTATCAAAGCGCATAAGCGCCGCATCGCCGTCTAACGCGTAAACATTGGTACGGAACCCATAGAAATGTAAACCAAATTTATACTTATTGTTAAAATCTCTAAAAAATATCTGATAATTTGATGTGCATATGTCTAATGATCATTTTTGACCGCCAAATGGCATTTTTTTACTTTTTTCATTAGATCTCCGAAACCGCTAGACCTGCCTTTATGAAAATTTGATCGGTTTTTCACCTTGTCAATACAAGTAAAATGTTTTAAATTATTAAAATCGGACGCTCCGTTTTCTTAAAAACTGAGTTACCGTTTTTGGCACTTTTTGCCCTGTATCTTCGGAACGGCTAGACCTGCCTTCGCCAAAAACTAATCAGCACGCCTTCTTATCAATACGAATCGAATGTTCTTTGAATTATTCAAATCGGTTGATCGGTGTTTCCGAAATTGTCGACGAAAATTTGTATCCGCACATACATACACACTAGAGATGGGCTTATCATATCCGAAGCCGGATCGACTCGGATTTGACTCCGCTGCAGGAAGGAGTTATATCCGCTTAACAACTTCACGACTCCGACAACTTTGAAACTGAAATACTCGACACAAATGTGTTCTATAGTGCGTTGTTTATGCTTCTAAGGATTTGTCAAATCCCATT